TAATAATAATAATAATAATAATAATAATAATAATAATAATAATAATAATAATAATAATAATAATAATAATAATAATAATAATAATAATAATAATAATAACAATAATAATAATAATAATAAGTAAAACTGGTACTTAATTCATCCGACAAAATATTGGAATAGCACTTCCCAGAAATTAGTAAACAATTTCGGATTATTTGATTAATTTTTTTTTTTAACTCAAAGAATTCTAAAACAGTTTAACGATAACAATAAAAAATTTAACAAATTCAACTCAATATATGCATACATTATATTTTAATTCAATTTTTCATTCAATGAATTTCATTAATAAAATTAAAAAATTTGTTGGATAAATTTTTTTTTTGAAAAAAAAACAAAAAAATATTAAATATTTGTCTAAATTAATGTAGCATTTAAATAAAATAATGGTAATTTAAAAAAGAAAATGAATCTAATAATATTTTTAATGTTTATTAATCTAAAAAACTAATTATTTCAAACACACAAATAAAAAAAATTAATTTTTAAAGATCAATGAATGAATTTAAATTATTAATAGAAATCATTTAATTATTTAACATTTACTTTTATTCCTTTCATGTTTAGATATGTCCATTATCTTTTTCCCAATTAAATAAACCAATTTTGATGGTCAAATTTGCAAGAAAATTGTTCATTTTGAAGCAAAGAAAAAAAAAAAAGGAAAAGGAAAAAGGAAAGAAATATCATTATCGCTGTTTGATATTACTTTTGTTTCAAGCGCAAAGTATTTTAAAAGAAAAAGCGGCAATAATAAAAATTATAAATGGTGGAAAAAATAAATAAATAATTTTATCGAATTTAACAAAAATTTAATTTACTCAAATAATATCAAAAAATTTCAATCAATAAACGTGTACTATATCTGGGATAAGTTAATTTTATTGAATTATTTATATGATTGTAATGTATATACTATGTTTGTATCAATTATTAATTCATTTATAATTTATATTACGCAATTAAATATCATTTATAATTTATATTATACAATCAAATATGTTGTCATTATTGAAATACTATTATAAATTACGCAAATATGAATTGCTTTTAATTTTTAAATGCTAATAATTTGAATTAAAATTTATATAAAAGTAAAATGTTGCAAAAATTGCTCCATTCGTTGGATTATATTTATGAAATGTGATATATTTGTTAAAATATGTTTGATAATAATCAGTTACCGTATTATTAATTAATTTCTTTTTCTTTTTTTAAAGCTATCTTTTAAATATAATTACAATTAATTCAATCATTAGGTTTTATTGTATGAATTTATTGCATGAATAATAAAAATTGAATGAAAATTTGAATTTATCAGAAATGATATTTCAATAATTTTATCGTAAAAATATCAAAAATTCTAAATGAATAATTATAACAGAAATAATGATTGTTAATATTTCGATGTGTAATTATTTAGTATTTCGTCGGATATCATATTAATTATAATACTATTCCAGGTGACAGATTACTTTATAAAAATAATTGATAATAATTAAAACAAAATAATATTTCCCATTTTATTACGTGGTATATTTAAAAAAACTTCGAAATGAAATGAAAAATTTTTAAATTTTCAACCCTTAACAAAATTTTAGAAATGGAAAATGATTTATATTTAATATTAAATGATTTAATTAATTGCATTTTGATTAGGAAAATATAATTGTAAAATTACTTTCTCTCCCAAGAAATTTTCATTGATTTTTTTCTTTTTTTTTGCTCTATAAAACCTTTTATTTTTCCCGATATATACCATAACTTCATTTCTCTTCCATACAATAAAAGTGAAATTTAAAAGTTCAAATGATTGTTATTTACAAAATTTTGTCAAAAATTGTACAATTCATTAATATCATTAAATAATTAATCCAATGAACAAATAAAATGCAAATTTCATTGTTTAAATTTAACAGATAGATTGATTTATAGATGATTTTCCTACCACAATTTATCCACTAATTAATAATGATTATTTGAATTATTTCTTTGCCATTCATCATCATTTAACTAATTTAATTGTAATTAAACGTTCATTTGATTTTAAAAAATAAACCTAAATTATACGTTATAATTCTACTTCAATGCATACTGTAACCCTTGTCATAATCCTTTCGTTCCTTTTTCTTTTTCTTTTTATCATTTCTTTACTTTGATACAAAAAAAAGAAAAACAAAAATTTTTTATCGGTTCATTTATATAAAATAAAATTTGTAGTATTCATCACTTTTGAAGAACTGGAAAATTTCACTAAGCAACATTTTACTTCAATCCTTTCATCCTTAAAAAAAAAAAGAAAAAAAGAAAAAACTTTAGTTTTATTTCATTTTTAGCTCATCATAGTTTGGAAATTTCATTTGAATTCTTGTTTTTTTTTTTTTTTTACACAAACATTTTATTATTTTTACACTTTATTCTTGTGTATTACTCATTTTTCATTTCATCAAAATTTTGAAATATATTAGAAATTTGAATGAAATGATTGGAAAAGAAGTTTAAAATTTCATATACTTAAATAAATTTTAATAGTTAATATTATGTCAAAAGAAATTAAATTTTTTACTCAAAAAAAAAAATTTGAACATATATTATTTGATGATCAAATTTAATTTCGAAAAATGATAAAATTTTAATAAAACAATGTTATATATGTATGTGTATATTTGATTTATATTTATTTGTAAATTATAATCAAAAAATTTTAATGAAAAACTTTGTTTTTTTTCCTTTTTTATTAATTCCTATAATAAATTTCTAATTATAAAATTAATCCAATTAATTAGGATAAAAATTAATTATCATGCTCAAAAAAAAAAAATTAAGAATGATTAAACCAGATATAATTTAATTTGATACTAAAATGCTATCATGTTTGGTACTATAATTTAATACTATCATGTTTAAATCTTCCAACGCATTGCCTTTATCATCATCATAACTATCATTATCGCTATCATCTTTATTATCATAAATATCATTAGCGTTAGCATTATCATCGTCATCATTATAATGATAGTCGTTTTGCCAACATTTTCATCATCATCATAAATATCATTATCGTTTTCATTATTATTAACAACATTATCTTCATCTTAAACATTATTATCATCATCATAAACACGTCATCATCGTAAATATCATTACCGTTATCATTATCATCATCATTATCATAAATATCATTGACATTACCATTATTACTACCGTTATCATTATCATCATCATCAACATCGTTATCTTCATTATCATAAATATTATTATTGTTATCATCATCCTATTATGGTAACAAGAAATATAATACTATTTCATATTCAAATAACTAAATAAAATTCAATAATAGACTAAAAATGTATTTCAAATATTTTTAATTAGCATAGAAAATATTTTAAAACTTTGCAAAAAAAAAAAAAAGAATTTTTCAATTAAGACATATTTAGGAAATGAATGATAGATGGAAGGGGTGGAATATAAAAATGGAAATAGTTTGGTATACTTCTCCTTCTCCCTATTTCTCTCAATCAAATTTCTCTTTCCCATTTAATGATAAATGGTATTTCGGTGAACGAATGGGAAGTGAGGAAATGTTTGAAGCCTAAGCAAAATGGACTACCCATTCATTCATTCATTCATTCATTCATTCGTTCACTCATTCATTCATTCATTCATTCATTCATTCAATTTAATTCATTCATTAATATCTGGAACTGTTTCTTCATTCAAACAATCATTTCTTTATGCTTCCTATCTTTTTGCTTTCTTTATTTTTTTTTTCTTCTTCTTAAAAACTTCTTCCTTTTATTTATTCATACAAATTTAAACATTAATTTCAAAAATTAAATTTGAAAAAAAAGACGAAATTTTAATTTGAATTTGTTTTAATAAATTAAATAAATTTAAGAATTATATGAAGCATACATAAATTAATTAATAAAATTCATTTACAAAAAAAAAAAGAAATTATTACAATGAAAGAATAGTAATTATTAATGAATTTAATATAATTTATGAATATTATTTATTTTGATTTGATTTCAATTTTCCCAAAATTTTCAATGTAAAATTTAAAATTGAAAAATGAAATTTTAAATTTTACATTTACAAAACAAACACAGTTAATCATTTCCATTTAAAATATTTTTTAAAAAAAAAATTACTTCCAAAATTAGATAAAATATATGATGAAATAAGTAAATTGTTGATATGAAAGATTAAAAATATTGTGTCAGGCTTTTAAATTAGTATAACTTCATTAACAATGTGTTTGCATTGTGATACAGTATGATTGAATTTTAACCTTTCAAATAGAAATAATTGTAATGGGTTATTTCAAATTTAATTGATTAATTAAAAATTGTAAAAATTAATTTCAAATTAATTTTATCATAAAGAATGTAAAAGAAAAAAAAGGATGGATGATAATAATTAAATGAAAAATGCAAAATATTGCAAATTAAATTGAATTAATTAATTTTTAATTTAATGAATTAATGACGTTATGCTTTTATTGATGTTAAAATGATATATTTTAAAATTTTCTTTTTTTTTCCTTTTTTTTTTTGCTTTTTTTTTTTCAGATTTCTACTTGTGATGTCATTGCCAAGGATGTGTTCATTACCGTCTAGCAGTGGTAGTACAAGCAATAGCAGTACTGATATTGATAAGGAAAAGCAACGTTTTGCAGCTGCTGCAGCAACAATGGCTTTTCCGGGTTTACCGTTTATGGCAGCAGCAGCAGCATTTCCGGCTGTAACATCTACAACAACCGGTAGTTCCGTTTTTCCAAATCAAATGGCCGCACAATTATCACTATTCAATCCACATCTACAACAATATTATGCTAATTTTTTGCATCAACAACAACTTTTGCACAGCTTACAAAATCATTCACCACAATCTCGGACAGGTTAAAGTTTAATTTTGAAGAAAGAAAAAAAACGAATTAAAAAACAATAAATTAAATTGGAATTGGAATATAAAATAAAACAAACGTATATGCTAATAAGTATGAACAGAATTAAAGATTTAATTCTTAAATAATTAATGTAATTAATTATTATAAAATAATAATAACAGCAACAATAATAAATTATAATAATAAAAATTAACCATATAATATGAAATGCAATAATATAACAATGATAGTAGGTCAAAAATAATACTATTAACAATAACAATAATAACAATAACAACAACAATAACATTAACAATAATTGTTACAACAATAACAACATTTGCTACTACAACAAGAAGGATAAGAAGGAAATTATAACAATACAATTTACATGGAATTTTGTACATTTAACGTTGTTGTCAGAGGCATGCATCATAACAACAGCAATTTTCACGCCCAAAATTCATCTTCTAAAGGATATGTGTATGTATGTATGTATGCATATATGTGTATGTGTGTATGTATGTGTGTATGTATGTAGGTATGTATGTATGTAGGTGTGTATGTATGTATGTATGCATGCATATATATATGCATGTATGTATGTATGTATGTATATATGTATGTATGTATGTATGTATGTATGTATGTATGTATGTATGTATATGTGTATATGTATGTGTACGTCTGTATGTATGCTTCTATATATATGTGCATGTGTGTATGTGTGTTTGTGTGTCTATGGATGTATGTGTTTTTGTGTGTATGTGTAGTCTGTATGTATGTGTATGTGTATATGTATGTGTATGTATGTATGTATGCATGTGTGTATGTATGTATGTGTGTATGTGTGTATGTTTGTGTTTCATTGAAATGAAATTCAATCTTCGTCGAGCGTTTCCCAAGTTTGTCACCTTTTATTGAATAATCAACCTATTGATACGATTACAGGGAGAGAGAGAAGAGAGGGAGAGAGAGAGACGGAGAGAAAAAAAAGCATAATTAAGAAATTAGATATTTCCATAAATGATTACTAATTATCAGAATAGAATAATAATAGATTATTGGTTGTTGTTGTTGTTATTGTTTACTTATAAATATGTCAAAGGTCATTGGTATAATTCTAAACATGGATTAATAAATATTTGTTGATTACGGTACTTAAGGTATTAGTAATAATGTTATTGGTTGGATTCATTATTTTCGTTATTAACCATTCGAAAACAAAAAAAAAAAAAAAAAACGAAAAGAAAGAAAG